TCAGCGTCGCTCCTTATCAGGGAAATACAAATCAAAACCACACTCAGATATCACCTCACGCCAGTCAGAGTGGCCAAAATGAACAAATCCGGAGACTCTAGATGCTGGAGAGGATGTGGAGAGACGGGAACCCTCTTGCACTGTTGGTGGGAATGCAAATTGGTGCAGCCGCTCTGGAAAGCAGTGTGGAGGTTCCTCAGAAAATTAAAAATAGACCTACCCTATGACCCAGCAATAGCACTGCTAGGAATTTATCCAAGGGACACAGGAGTACTGATGCATAGGGGCACTTGTACCCCAATGTTCATAGCAGCACTCTCAACAATAGCCAAATTATGGAAAGAGCCTAAATGTCCATCAACTGATGAATGGATAAAGAAATTGTGGTTTATATACACTATGGAATACTACGTGGCAATGAGAAAAAATGAAATATGGCCTTTTGTAGCAACGTGGATGGAACTGGAGAGTGTGATGCTAAGTGAAATAAGCCATTCAGAGAAAGACAGATACCATATGGTTTCACTCTTATGTGGATCCTGAGAAACTTAACAGGAACCCATGGGGGAGGGGAAGGAAAAAAAAAAAAAAAAGAGGTTAGAGTGGGAGAGAGCCAAAGCATAAGAGACTGTTGAGAACTGAGAGCAAACTGAGGGTTGATGGGGGGTGGGAGGGAGGAGAGGGTGGGTGATGGGTATTGAGGAGGGCACCTTTTGGGATGAGCACTGGGTGTTGTATGGAAACCAATTTGACAATAAATTTCATATATAAATAAGTAAATAAATAAATAAATAAATAAATAAATAAATAAAAGAAATCTCATAAAAAAAAATATGTGACCACCAATTAACCCATAAGCTGGATCCAGGCATTTGGAGGCTCCCCACCTCCTTCTGTCCTTAGAATGTGGGCTCATGCTGCTTTTCCCTCTCTCAGAGGCTACTCCATGGACATAGTCTTGAGATAGCGATATGGTGTTGAGAACACCCACATTATGCATGTGACTGAACCCAGTTAGGGCTTCTTTATAAACTTTTGAGATTTTGCAGGTAAGTGTAGGGATCTCTTTGTCTTACTGACACCCCAAACAAGCCGCATATGTAAGTTCCCTTTGCATATTAAATTTTTTTTTCAACGTTTATTTATTTTTGGGACAGAGAGAGACAGAGCATGAACGGGGGAGGGGCAGAGAGAGAGGGAGACACAGAATCGGAAACAGGCTCCAGGCTCCGAGCCATCAGCCCAGAGCCCGACGCGGGGCTCGAACTCACGGACCGCGAGATCGTTACCTGGCTGAAGTCGGACGCTTAACCGACTGCGCCACCCAGGCGCCCCCCCTTTGCATATTAAAATTTAACCTACTAACCTGGAGTGGCCTTCCTTTTTCTTCAGTCTCTCTCTATCCTATGTGTCTGGGTGCTGCTTACAAATTACACAAGGGAAGGTCCTTGGAAGGGTTATAAACAGCAGCATTCATAGGTGAGAGAACCTTGTTCTCACAGTCTCTTGTCCCATGCTCTGAGGCCAGGGGGCTGACATTGGCTGCCCTCCACATTTGGGTGGGCTTACTGGCTGGGTTCCAGATGTAACTAATTCCACTGTATGGGCTTCCTGGTATATAACTTATGTCCAAAGGATATGAGAATTGCCATCAAGAAAACACTTAGAGGTAAGGGAGGAGGCACATAACAGTGGACTTCAAATACTGAAGCAGGGATTAACTATGCTGTGTGAGTTTCCAGTCTGCAGTCCTAGGACTATTGGATACAAGTTACAGGAAGGCAGATTTGGACACAGTATAAGCAGCAGGTCACTGCAAGGGGCTGAGTAACTCTGTTGGACGGTTGCTTCAGGCAAGAGGTAAGGTGTTGGTGACCAACATGGTTACTTCCAAGTCTCAAATCCTGTGGCTACACTAAGCACTGTGATTGCATTACTTCACTGACACCTGATCAGAGTTGTCCCACCTACTCTTTTGCTTATGGAAGTTTATGGTCTGGCAAAGAAAACAGTTTCCACTTCCTGTGGTTATTTAAATATGTAAGCCATTAGAAAGGGGGTGGTAACACGAGGTTTCAAATACATATAAACAGCATAATATTTTTTGTAGGAAATGACATGTGTATTAGTAGACCACAGCCTGGATGATTATACACCCAAATGCTAACAATTGTAATTGATGGGATGATAAGGATTGATTTTTACAAATCAAAAGTTGATAAAAGTATTATTTAAGAGCAGGGAATGGAATACTCTCATTTATATGTATTCCTTGTGCTCACCATGAACACCAAAAGTAATTGGTTCATAAAACAATGAATTCTGTTCTGGACAAGAATGAAACCAGAGATTCAGTGCTGCAGATCATTAGCAGGTATTAGACATCTGAGTTTATGTTCAATAGATGTGATGTGCTTAGAACAATGTGTCCTAGAATGTGCCTCCTTCCCCTTTCCCCCATCCAACCCCAGCCTTGAGTGTCTCCTATCAAGCTGAAAGCACATTCCAGAAAGCAAGAGAGCCCAGTTTAAACATCTCAGCCCTATTCACTTTAGAAGTTCACTTCAGACTCTGTGTTGTCATTTTCTCACTTCCTACATAAGAAGGCTAGTCCACATTACCTCCTCTCCCAAGGTTCTCATGGGAGAATCATGATTCTAACTCTTGGAAAAGCATATAGCATTCCCAACTCAGAATCCACTGGACCCGGACAAAGGAGAGCCTTATCCCTCTGACCAATCTCCCAAAGTGGCTTTTCTTAAACTATTTGTTTGGCTGTAAAGAGTACCTTTGTTGTACTTTCATTACTTAGAAGACCACCAAGAATGGACCACCGGAGTCTCAACACAATGATTATATTTATTATTTTATCGCTACATTAGAAATGAAAATAAACTGAGAAGGTGCAAATGTATGCCACTTCATGAATATTATGGAACAACAAATACAGCCACTATAGAAAGTTAAAAGTGGTTTAACCTTTGGGGGTGCAAGGACTACACACAGAAATGTCATCAACGGTAAGATTATTAACAGCATCTGCCAACTGGAATGTATGTACCAATGGAAAGTTTAAAAAAAGGGAACACTGGCTTCCCCTGACCTCTTGGCTATGGGATATGGATGGGAAGACATCAGAAGATGCCTAAAATAGCTACAAACACATAAGTTTACAAAAAACAAGCCCCACACTAAAGCAATGTTGAAATTTTCTGTTGGGAGGAGATCCACATTTTATGATGTTTGAACACACTCTTTCTCTTGTTGGATAGCTAGGGGAAAAACAAACACAAAAAATCATTAAGAAGGTATATTTCTAGAAGTTCAGTTTTCTTCCAAGAGTTCTTTGCCAAGTTACTGAAGGCTGCCATATCTGCTTTAAATTTAGAAGGCCAAGGCACTAACCACAAATCCCCATTCAAGTGTGTGTGTATATGTGTATGTGAGTGTGTGTGTTGTGCATGCATGAATGTTAACCACCTGAACATTCATTAGAATTTATATCAACTGTTTTTTTTTTTTTTTCATTTGAGAGGGAGATTTATGCTGTTGCCATTTTTTCCATAGATTATTCTGAGACTGAAGAAGTGAAGCATTTTCCTCAGGTTTAACTATCACTATGTAATTAGGAAGTTATACCCTTTAGACAATTATGACTAACTGTGAAACTCAAGTAACACTGACATGGCAAAAAATGTCCCTCAATTTTGTGAATATGTTTGGAGTTTCTCTATCAGGCTAAAACTCCCAAGGGCAAACCTGATCCCTTGAGTCTGGGAGCCTTGAGTGCACCCAAGATCTAAACTTGTTCTCTGCCTTATTTTGTCATCAGGCAGAGAAAGCCAACACTGCAGTTTGTGTGGTTTTCTAGGAATGAAATCACAGGCCAAAATGGCTAGATGCAGAAAATACCTAATAACCATTAAGTAGACAAAACAAAGATTTTTCTAGTACTAAGTCTAACATTCCAAGATTGGTTGTAAAGATATTTTTAGTAATTTTCAACAAGAAATTAGTTTTTTATTCCCCCATTACTTCTTGGGTCTATCATGTGAGAACCATTTGTATAATTCAAGTAAGAAGACAACTATTTGGTATTTTTAACTGTTGCATTAAATACAGTGGTACTATAATTATTTCTTAGTGGCAAAATTTACTAGAAGAGTTTATTTACTGAGCCTATCAATGTTCACCATTGTTTTTCTCCATTAGAAACCCCCAGCCCCATCCATGACTTACTTTCCTTTGAAGGGAGAGTATTTTTTTCTTTAGTGTTAGTTTTCTTCAGTTTTGACCAAACTTCTCCACTTCAGACAAGTCTGGCTTATTACTCATCTTGACTAAAATAAAAACTAAAAAAAAAAACTACATTAAAATACACAGAGCTATTGTCATACTAAGGAATCAGAGCCAAAAATTCTCATATTTAATATCAATGTGTATTTTACCGGCTGATTTTCAAGACAACAGCACACATCTTAGAAAAGCCATGTTTTTATTAGAATACTCTAAATTACACATCACTGCCCCATTTGTGTTAGGAAGTAAAAGCCATTAAATCAGGATGCAATAGAAACCAAGATGCTCTAAAATCCAGAGTCAAAATGTCTAATTCTTTTCGATTACAGCTGGGGTCAAATGGAGGTGACAGAAGCACCTCCATATAGAGTTAAAAGAAAAATAAGGACTGTGTTTAACCAGCTAACGATTTTGTGACTGGAGATAGCAGTAATTTGAGCAACTTCACTTTGCATTCAATTAATTTTGGGGGGCATTTTTCTTGGGGAGTAGGAATAAGCACACAAAAAGGGTTGGCATAAATTGTACTAGTTTCTTTCCATTTTATCTGCCCAGAGATAAAGGAGTCACAACAAGAGAGGGAGGGGATTTAATCCAGTCATAACTAATTACATGTCTCATAATAACTCCTTATGGCACAGGTTTGTAAATGCTGTAAGAAGGCACAGCTGATTAGGATCATACCAAGGCCTTCAGCAGA